TTGTTAAATTTATCGATCTATATGTACCTACTAGATTTTTTACAATACCTCTGAGCGTGGTGTGGGAGTCATGACTTGATAATCTATGCTAAGGGCGAGCTACAATTTATATTCTCATTCTCAGTAGTTTTAATATATATTTTAAGTTTTTGGAGTCCCAGGGGAGGAGATTAGCCACCCCATAAGCTTAGTAAAAAATGGACGATAATAAATTTTGTCTTCGTTAACCTTTCGCCAGCGACTACGTCAGCGTGATATTAAAAAAACAAAACTAAGTTGCCTATGTATTCTTCCAGACGATGCTTTACATCTATGCCAAAATTTATCCAGATCCGTTTAGCTGTTTAAGCTACAAAAATCCATCTAAACTTTCGCATTTATAATATTAGTAAGATTAATAAATGAACGAAAACACACCCAGGTTAAAAACTAAATAGCAATATTTAAAACATCGTAAAAGTAACATAATTTCAAATGTGATCCGAGAACACTACATTCAAAAACCAACTACAAACTCAATCTATCGATTTATTATTAATGGATTCGCTGCATCGTTAATACCGAAACCGAGAGCACAAAACGATTAGAAATTAATTTACCGATGATTATAACTAAGATAATAGTTAAATCGACTAGGTCACACAGATTTAGGTAACCTAGTTAAAACTGAAACTGTGTTCCAATCTCATTTTGTTCGCATGAGACCTCGGATATAAAAGCGCATGTCGATATCAGCCTTGAAATTAAAATCAGGTACATATTGTTTTAAAACATTTTTTTTATAACAAGGTGGCAAACGAGCAAGCGGCCACCTAAATCCGCCAAAGTAGCCGCTGCTCATAGACATCCGCAATTGCAGATGCGTTGCCTACCCTTATCCGACGGAGGAGGAGAAGCACATCAAGAGGATACTTCCCCTTCCTATGCATCTCCACCGGTAAATCCACTTCTTCCCATCTTCTCCTTATAAGAAGAGGGTGGTAGAGGGAAAGGGAAAAAAGGGATCAGACGAAACACGTAATTGCTTCAATTTCACGCCTGTCTTCTGTGTGGTCGTGATACTACACCGGGCGTGCCGGCCCTGCAGTGCTAAGATGTTAAAGCGGGCACTACCACTGCTAAAACTGCATTTAGATACTTATATGGCTTAATTTAGACTTACAGGTGATAGGATAAATTAGCTGCTAAAATCGCAAAAGAGTTGATTAATGTAAGCCTACTTCGTTCGATCGATATAGTCTGCACTTGTTTCACACAAAGGTAGTAAGTACAGTGTGTAAAAATAGCAGTATTGCACTATCCTACTGTACCCCCGTGTGAAATAGTAAGTATGACATACTCGCCAGTAATAGTCTAGGCTACTCATTGTTGTCACTGATATGTTCATTGTCTTCAATTTGAAGTAATTGTTATTAACAACATTCAACGACCTGTCCTCGTCATCACTATCGTATTTGCCACAGGTTTTAAATTTTAGGATTTATAAAGTGACTAGCTTTCGCCCGCGACTTCGTCTACGTGGAATTAAAAAAAAAACAAAAGTAAGTAGCCTATGTGTTCTTCTAGACTATTCTCTTCAACCATGACAAATTTCATCGAGATCCGTTCAGTGGTTTAGGCGACAAACTCTAACAACCATCCATCCATCTTAATCTTAACTTACGCATTTATGATATTAGTATGAAGTAAGAAGTAAGATTAACCTGCCTAAAATCTAGGAGTTGACTTCTGTGTACTTGGTACAAAAAGATTGTCAAGTTACTAATTACAGAACATAATAGAACTGAGATTAAAACCAGAAAGGCGCAGACAGAAGTTGAATAAAATGCTGAAACAGCCCTTTTATTCTTTGCTTTTACTTAAAGTATGAAAACCGGTGGTCGCTTTTGTTTGACAGTGCATTGTGTTCTTACACAAAGATGTCTGGAAACGTATTTTGTTTACGTACTGTGGTGCGATGTTTGGGAGAAATTCATACGGTTAATGGTTGAAAATTCTCCAATTTCTTGTTACACGCACGATAAATCTTCCGACGTTGGATGAGCACCTTGGATAACTATCTCTTTCAACTGTTAGAAGATAACGCGGTACATGCTTGACTGACCACGTGCGGAACAGATATAGCAGTGGTCATTTACGCCTAATATTAATTCCATATCTGATCCAGAAATTATTTTAATCATGAAACGGAGTACTAAAACAATTTGATCCCTTCGAAACAATAAATTTGAAGTAATTAAATACTCTATACGTATAATAAAATTGGAGTGTTGGCTTGTAATTGTAATATCAAAAGAAAAATTCCAGATTTCGGGAAGATGATGTATTTGCGTTAATCCCCGAAACGGCTGGGCCGATTTCGGAGATTACCCGGACTTTTACTGAAGGGTAGCTAACATAGACGGGCATTTTATAGGGTACTTGTTATCTTAATATTGCCTTATGTGTACTCGCACGAAGTTGCAGGCAACATCTAGTCTATACTAATATTATAAAGAGGAACGATTTGTATTTTTGTATCCATATCACTCAATAATTAATTGGCCGATTTCCACAATTCTTTTACAATTAAAAAGCTACATTATCACTAAGAAACATAGGCTATTCTAAATTATTATTATTATTTTTAATAAAAATAAAAGCATAGAAACAAAAATGGTCCCATATAGAAAACTGATATCGTTAAGAAGTTTTGATAAAAACAAAGATACAATAAGAAACCAATCATAAAACTTCTATTGTAAATCTAACGCAGCCTTGAATGTAATCTCGGTCAATGCATTCGGAAGTTTTATAGGTCCTTGACTTGATTTGACCCGGCAATAGATTTACCACGATTTAAGATTATTCTTAATTTAATTGCGTATTTCTTTACTAACAAAATATTAAAAATTTCCGAACATTTAAAGCCTGCTATTACTTTTAAAACATCGTGCAACCTGCAGATCATCACCATCATCATCACCGGCTCGCTATACGTCCCCACCGAGGGGCTCGCAGCCTACCCTTATGGGGTGACTAGGCCATAGTCAACCACGCCGGCCAAGTGCGGGTTGGTTGTCTTCGCACATATCTTTGAATTTCTTCGCCGATATGTGCAGGTTGCATCACGATGTTTTCCTTCACCGTAAGAACGTCGGGTAAATTATGTACATATGAAAATTCGAAACATTTAAAGTCACAGTGGACCAGTTTGGTTGGCTATGGCCTAGTCACCCTTACTTAGGGTAGACTCCGAGCACCTCAGAGGGGAGGTATTGGGCTGGTAATGAATACACCTTCAATCTTAAAAATAGACATGGGTTAGAATATATTTCCGCAGTTTTAATTTTACTGTTCGAATGTTTAATTAACTTGTACATGTGTCGTCAAAATTACCGTCTGATAACCGTCATATTTTTGCCGTTGCCACGTACGTTCTAAGGATTATTCCCAACCGTCACCTCGCTCTTTGTCCACGTGGAGACAGATGAGAGTAAAAAGTCATCCGTCCCACCTTTTGCGACAAGGGGACGGTTGGAACTTATTTTATTTCATTATGTTTCCATCTGCCATCTTATTGGTGATAGTGAGACTAAAAAGTGGGACGGATAAGATGTTTCATTCTCACGTGGGGACATAGCGCGGTGACGGTTGAGAATAATCGCGTTCTAAGTGTACAGTTGGATTGTTCCGTGAAAACTGAAAGTGTGCAGCGGGCTTTAATGTAAAACTTGCTAAATACATTTAGTTAGAACTGTATGTAGCGGGTTTAAAACATTTCAATTTTATAAAGTGTAAAGTGGAATTTCTTTAACAATAAAAACAAGTTTAAACGATCTTGATATGCAAATATTATCAATTTAATAAAAATTACTTTTTCACGTAATTGTTATTTTCATCCGTTCACACTGATCGAGAATTTGATAACGATACATATGGTAAGTTAAAAAAAAAGATATTCGATAGTTAACGACCCTCGAAACTGTCCAAAGCAGTTAACGTAAAATTAAAGTAAAAATTTCACACGACCTTTGGTTAAGTTTCATAACTCTGGCCATGTAAGTGTCTTAAGACCTTTATCACGAATACTATATATGTAAATTATTGAGACATATGACCTAAAATAAGAATAAAAAAGATTGATTTAATTACAATAGCAGTTAAAGTCAGACAACAAATCGATTTTAATCGAACGCCAAATAATTTTTCGATGAAACATATGTTTTTATGTAATGAAATTGGTTCGAATAATTAATGTTGTTCATATGTAATGTTCGTCGCGGATTATCCGGTTACGTAAATTGTCTGGTTTAATTTTTTATCCGTCTGAAACTACTGTTCGAATCGCGATTACGGCATTTTATGTAGTCGAAATATTAAATATACTTTGAAAACCAGATATTTCTAAAGGCAACTGCCCCTTGTAACGTCATATTAGTAAACATTAACTCATTAATCTTCCAGAACCTTCTAACGTTTCAGTCTGTAAATTTGTTAGTAGAAAACTTGGTGACAAGGGATGTTTACCGTTGGGCCGATAGGGATGGAAAAAACATTCAAATAGAGTCGATTGGTCAGTGGCTATCGGCTAACCGGTCCAACGGGAAACACACATGATAAAATTGTTTTCCAATATGTTACTGAATTATTTTTCAGGCGTGTAATGTTTGGTCTTAATTAGTTATTTTCAGTACGAAAATGAGAGTATTTGCGTATAAAATCGAGTTGCGATGATTAAATGTTTAATTTAAGCGGGAAAATTTGGTGACACGGTTTCAAATGATAGGGTGCCGTGTACAACACAGAAAGCGGTAACAAAAACGTGACAAGCACAGTGAACCCACATGCAAACATCGCCGTATGAACACTCATGCCAATTGTACTAAGAACATTATCGTTATTCGGGATCCAACATTCATGGTTAACAAAACGAGTTATGGTGATTGTCTGTGAGTTTAGTTTTTGTTTTAATTTGCTGTAGGTTACGTCAAACGAAGCTAAGCATATCTGTGATCTACCTTCGTTCGGTGGCTTCGTTTGACCACTGTTACTTTCTGTATGCGCTAGCAGTGTCGTCTTGGACTTCTCTAAGGGCCTGCGCCCCTTTAGAGGCGACTCCGTGGGTTTTTTGTCGCTTCTCTCGGACTCACTCTCTACGCCCAACTTACTGAGGGCGACAAGGTTGGCTACGGCGGAGACGTTTTCTATTAAACTTCATATTAACTTCACAATATTGTATGGTGTAAGGGGGGTATAAAATAATAATAAAAAAAGCGATCATGCAGGACAAACAGCCAATTTTAAATTAACCGAAAAGGCTTGAATAGCTGAAATAATTGTAGCGGTGAAGAAATTTCGAAACAGATTGCAATTAAGAGGGGATATAGACACCATTCATACCAAGGAAATGTAATCGATCCTTTGCCATTCCCAAGTTGGTTTTCATCTTATCGTGGAGGCGCTGTGCGCGCTGCCAGGCGTCGCCTCGGCCGCCCCAGCAGTCCACGGCTATACCTCGCTCCAGTTCATATATGCCTTTCTTGTACAGCTCTATTGCTAGCTCTTTCTGACCTGTGTTGATTTTGTTCATATCAATTTGCTATCCCTTACCTCTATATACCTCTCATTCTATTCCATGTATATCCAGTTATATACCTAACTGTGGGCACTGTCATATTTAGCACAACAAATAACATTGATTACCTAATATGCTAATAGGGCTAAATAAATCAAGCACAAGTTGGTAGATATTAATAATTAAACCAGTAACTCCTCATATAATAAAGGTAAATAAAAGCTTGCGATATCGAAAGAATGACTAAAGCTTTCTATGTCTATTCCGTTGGCAATCTATTGGATAGTACATAAAACAAGTATATATGAGATACATAATTATGTGCTTATAAAGATTGATAAGCTAAGAAGCTCTTACGCTGTATGAATATAACAACAGTATTCAGATGATTAGAATGAATTGTAACTATCTAACTGTTGATTGATGTTTCTTTTATTTTTTTTTAAATATGATTAACTATATAATTTCGTATTAAAATAATAACACTTAAATATTCTTATACTTGAGAACTTTTTGAAGATGGGCATAAAAATATTTGAATTCATACAATTGAACATGTAATTAACAAGAATTCTGCGTTTGTTTACATGAGTTTTCTAAATAAAACATAGCTTCAAATGTTTATTAGTTAAAATTCAAGACATAGATGTAATACATTACCAATGCATGTAGAAATTTAATAAATAGAGAGATCAACATGATGGTCAACATATAACAATAAAATATCTGGCTATTATGTGCTTTGTTACTTACTCATTAAATTTATCCATTTATATGCCTACTACTAAAGCCAGATAACAAGCGCAGTAATAGCTTAGTTCATTCTACATTGTGCTATGTTTTGCCACAATTTGTACTATTTCGTCTTCAGAATAAGTCTGTATAATAATGTTTTTGGTTTCTTTTTTGTGGCAATAAATGTTAATTCTAGTCTATTCTTGTTAATATATATTTATATTTGACATAACTTGTAAAATATATAAAAGTTTATTGTTATGTTGTTTTTAGAGAGAATAATAGATATGATGTCTTTCTATGATATCATTTTGGGAGTAGTAATGCATTGTAATATACCAATTGTCAATGAAATGTTTCCTATTAAGTATTAATTAAAATATTTTATGTATAAAAGTAAACATGCATTGTATTGTGACAATAGATTTTTTTCAGGGATTACTACTGTTTTTTTTTAATTCAATAATAACAGACAGTTATTCAAAGTCACTCATTTAAAGGCTTTGTAACACTTTCGTAATTTTTTACTAAGAGATATGTTTTATTGCATAATTTTTTTCTTTTTTTTAATAATAAAAGGGGGCAAAAGATTGGCAGGAACATCAAGGTGATAAAAATCCGCAAGAATTAAATTACCTTAATACCAATGAAAAGGTGATGAAATCTACAGATATTTGTGTTTATTTTGCATACTTATTGTATGGTTGAGGTGATTTATGCACCAATGCCAATATTTTTTTTAATATTCAGCAGTAGCAAGCTTCATAATTGCTTGTTTGAATATTTGCATGATTTTACATAAATTGTGTTCGTGAACATTTTCAAGGTTCACATGAAACAAATGCAAATTAACAACTTGGGATGAAATATTTATTCTAGTTAGGAAATAATTAAATAAGAAAATAGATTACAATTGTAGCAGGTTTCATGACTCTGAAAATATTTTTAACTATTTTATACTTTTTAAATAATTAATTGACTATTTGACTGGATTTTAGTATATAGTACTACAAAATTAAAGTTCTTTGTTTTATAACTTATAGAGACATACCATTGACACATTTTATTAATTCTAATTGGAGTATTTTATTGGCATAACTTGTAGTTATAAAGAAGTTGTATTTTATCTATATAAATATCTTGTTTTATTTTCGGATTAATTTATTACATTTTCAAATTAATTTTAGCTTTTAATACACAATTTTTAATCGTGAAAAACACAGAATTTTGCTATATGACATCACCATACAATAGACAAAAGAACAAAGATCATGTCTGAAACAAACATAAGTAAACAATGGGATATATGGATAGATTAATAATAATCACTTACCCTCATTTTCCTCATCAATCTTCAAGGCTTTTGATATATATTCAAAAGCCTTGCGATGGTGATGCTTCTGCTTTGCCAGCAGAGGGTCTCCAGGTCCCACATTGTGTGTATGAGACATGTCTTCTGGAGCTAACTCAGTCGATATCACGCCGTCTTTTACCACCACTTCCAAATTACACTCCCCGTTCTTACGAGGCTTATGCATAAACCGGTGTGACGCCGAATATAAATATTTAAAAATTATAAACAACTGGTACAAAATAGATCTTAAGACGTTGAACAAAATTATGATAGGGTAAGAGACGACGTAAAGATTTCTTTTATGAACTGAAGGTTGCGAGTCATGTCGCAACGCTGAACCCTTTGCTAGGTTCGCATCTGCCTTTTTCGATTTTCGGTTCGGAGACCTCGTAGTTTTCCGTGATAAACGACCACCATTGGAATCGTCACCCGAAACCATCAAGAACACTAACGCTCCCAGGAGCTTAACACGAAAATGCCATACAAGACAAAGACGCACACGTTTGTTATTCTACTTAATTATTCTAAAATAAACTAAATCGCGCTAGCTGTGTGTGATGGGTGATGGTTATTGACAACTTCTGACGTTTGTCAACCAATTCGTGAATGTGACCATTGAAGAAATAAGAAATGAGAATGGAGAGGGAAAGATCAGTGTTCTCCCTTCATTAATTGTTTTATTACTTAAGTAATTAATTTTCTAAATCAAGTTGATTCTGTTTTTTTCGCCTTTGTGAAGATTATCAAACAAAAAAATCAATGGACAAATAAATCAATTTCATTTCAATTCCACGATTTTCTTCTGTATTTTGTTTTTGTCAAGTCAATTGTCAAATATGTCAATGTCATTGTCATTTCATGCGGAGTTTTGGTATTTCATCAACGTTGCAATTTGCCTGAAATACTATTAAGTTTGGTTAAAATTCAATGAAAAGTATATCGCTTTATATTAATTAGTAATTGTACGTATTATTAAACTAACTAACCAATCTTTTATATACTATTAGGTTAGTTCTATGCTGCAGTTATGGGGACAATATTTTCCTTTTGATCATAAATTGTTTTTCAGTTGCAAAAATGGTAGAGGTAGATAATCAAATAAATAATCTGTCGTTAAAAGACGAAGAGGATGTTGTTGACCCATGGAATGTTTCAACTAATTCTGAAACTGGGCTTGATTATGATAAATTAATAAGTAAGTATACTAAAATGGATTTTAATTTGGAATGAAAACGATTTTTATAGAGTTCTTATACAATATGACGTGTATTTAAATTACAGAAAGGTTTGGAAGTCAAAAAATTGACGAAGAGCTCATAGAAAAGTTTGAAAAAGTAACTGGAAAGAAAGGTATGGTATATGAGAAAACAAAGTTAAACTGTTATTAGGAATAACAGTTAATTAGACATGTTTTTATTGAAAGACTTGTAAAACAACAAATTATTACAGCCTGTATATATGAAATTGTTTTACATTAAAATATATAAGTGTTAAAATAATAAATAGTAGGGTTTGTAATTTCCATAAATAGTTGCTAACAATGTGAAAGTTGTTTTAGTGTTTATTTTTAGGGTGTTAATAAAAGGAATAAACTATTACAAAATCACATTTTAAATTATTTAAACTTTCGTGAGACATTTTATAATTAATTATTTAACAGCTTACTCACATCATACTTTTTCCAGTGACGGCACCAACCAGTTTCAGACCCTGCGGGGTCCTTCTTCGAACCCCGCAGGTTCATTGCGAGGCGCGACGCGACCGCGATACAACATCTTTAACCCTCGCCCTGAAGAAGGACCCCCGCAGGGTCTAAAACTAATCGGTGCCGTCACCGAAAAAAGTATGACGATAGTAAGCCGTTAAATAAGTAAACACATTTTATTTATAAATGCAACTTTATTCACAGCACATCAGTTTCTCAGACGAGGAATATTCTTCTCTCATAGAGACTTGAACACTATACTATCGCTGCATGAGTCTGGAAGGAAATTCTACTTGTATACTGGTAGGGGACCATCATCGGAGAGCATGCACATTGGTCACATGATACCATTTATGTTTACAAAGTAAGCAGTTTTGAAAGGACAATTTTTTATTTATTAAGCACTGAATATAAACCTTTCTCAGTTACTTCCACAGTATGTGGTGCTGTTTTCGCATATAGCAACCTTTAGCCGCATGCACTGTCATGTGTTCACCTGGATTGGAGAAGGTTATGTCTAACAGTAGGCTGATAAAGGGCTGAATATGGTGGGAAGGGAAAGTGGGATAAAATTACGCTTTTTGCAAGTGCCATCATCAAATTAAAAAATTGCATCCACTTGATGTCAGTCTACTGTGTGAGTGGGGTATAGCACTAAATGAACTGGTGTATTCAAACAAATTATATTCAGCACTCTACCACTGTTAAAATTAATACAAGTGTTGCCCAATAAGAATGCTAGAATCATGTTTATTTCAGATGGCTTCAAGATGTATTCAATGTGCCTCTGATCATTCAGTTGACTGATGACGAGAAGGCAATGTGGAGAGATATCAAAGTGGAGGATGCCCGCAAAATGGCGCACAGTAATGCCAAGGATATTATTGCAGTTGGTTTCGATCCATCCAACACTTTCATATTTAATGATTTGGATTTTATTGGGTAAGTAAAAGTTTGTGTTCATTGTATTGTGATTATTAACCATGCATTGTACTTGATTCATTTTAAAAAAAATAATTTTTCAAATAAAAAAAACATTTATTTTAGATACATGACTGCAAAGCCATTCACACGCATCTTTTTAAACTGTACCATTTGTTTAGTTAAAACTGAATGTCTGTAGCTGGCTTAAGACAATTATTTTTTTTAATCTATTTTAAACTTTTTTTATCCAGCCAGTGCCCAGCATTCTATCAAAATATGGTCCGGATACAGAAGTGCGTGACCTTCAATCAAGTCAAGGGTATATTCGGTTTTGGAGACTCTGACGTCATCGGCAAGATCACATTCCCTTCAATAGAGGCGGCGCCGGCGTTCTCTACCACGTTCCCATTTATATTTGGTGATAAAGTTGTAAGTTTTTTTTTATTTTACATTATTAATAGCACCTTTAAATTTGGTAGGAATTTGACATCATTCACGTTTTTAAAATTGGTTGATAATTATATTTTTACAGCACAAAACGCAGATTATGCTCAAAATATATGTAGTGAATCTGTGTGAAATCGTTGCTCCTCAGCAATAGACCCCCAATAGAATATTTACGTGACATTTGCGAGTACGTAATTGTTAGTTAGTTTTTGAGTTATTTCAATACATACAAAAATCTAAATCTTGCCTGTTTATATTCGTTCTAGCTTCCGCTTGCGACTCCGTCCGCGTGAAATTAAAAAAAAACAAAAGCAAATAGCCTATGTGTTCTTCCAGACTATCCTTTACATCTGTTCCAAATTTAATTTAACCCGTTAAGCCATCTAGGCTACAAACTAACATCCATCCATCTAAATTTTCTATTTATAATTTTAAGTAAGATACAAGTGTAGACTAGTGTAGATAAATAAAATTATATGCTTTTTTGTTTTTATCCTTCTATTTCTGTATTTGTTTACGTCAGGTGCCGTGCCTGGTGCCGTGCGCGATCGACCAGGACCCGTACTTCCGCATGAGCCGCGACGTGGCGGCGCGCCTCAAGCTGCCGAAGCCCGCGCTGCTGCACAGCACCTTCCTGCCCGCGCTGCAGGGCGCGCAGCACAAGATGTCCGCCAGCGACCCCAACGCTTCTATATTCCTCAACGACTCTCCCAAACAGATCAAGAATAAGGTATGATTTGCTGGTTGCTCGCGATTTTCTCAGTACTGAGTTATATAAAACTAGCTTTTGAACACGACTCTGTCTACGTGGATTAAAAAAAAGTAGCATTTGTGTTCTTCTAGAGTATTCTCTACATCTATACCAAATTTCATCAAAATCCGTTGATGTTTGCGCTACAAACACGAACAAACATCCATCCATCTAAACTTTCGCATTTATAATATTAGTATGATTAGCTTATGTGTACTTCTAGACTGTTCTAAATCTACGTTTTGAAGATGTATGGTAACAAACATCTATCCAAACTTTCGTATTTATAATCTCCATTTGAATGTTAGTATGAAATGTAATTAATGTTTTTCAAAAATTCTTTCACCATTAAAAAAGCTACGGCATCAGTATGTATAGGCTTTTTTTTTTAATGACACGGGGACTAAGTCGCGAGCAGAAGCCAGTTACAAACTTATTTTTTAAAATAATTCTTTGAATTTGCAGAATTTGAAGATATGACGTCACAAAAACTATACATTCTTTTTTTGAACTGTGATGTTAGTGTTTTGTTCAAAAAAACATTTTTTTTTTTTCAGATAAACAAATACGCGTTCTCCGGCGGTAGGGCGACGGTGGAGGAGCACCGGGAGAAGGGGGGCAACACTGATGTAGATATTTCATACAAATATCTCACATTCTTCCTAGAAGATGACGAATATTTGGCATCGGTAAGTTATATTTGACTAGTTTTTAGACGACTTCTGTGCGGAATTACAAAAACCTTAATTCTGGCGCCTTAGAGCCTGTCCCACCACTGGTTGATAGAGGCTCAGATAGTTTAAAAATTAAAAGTTATCAGACAATTTACAATTTGGTAGGACTAACTGACTTACTAACTTAGGGCCTGTCCCACCAAAATGTAAATTGAGAATGGTGGGACAGGCCCTTATTTTTGTAGATTTTCACAGTCTCGATAAAGCTTCTTTTATTATGTTACAGATTAAAAAATCTTATGAATCCGGAGAAATGTTGACTGGAGAATTGAAGAAAATCGCAATAGACACAATAACACCTATAATACAGGAGTACCAGGCGCGCAGAGCTAAAGTCACTGATGACGTCATGCAGGAGTTCTTCAAAATTAGACAAATTAAAGTATAACCTCAAAATGTTTGCTATTTATTTTGTAAATATAAGCGTACTTGGATATGTAATTTTATGCTATGTCTGCGATTCCTATTTATTACTATGTTTAATATAGTAGGATTTATTTATTTATTTTTGTTTATCTGTGGAGACAATTTTTATAAGAGTACCAGGAGAGCATAAGCATAAATGTATTACAAAAACTAATAACTTAAATTATTTTAATATTTCCCGATTTATTCCTACCACAATCGGATATATTTAATCTGCAGAATAATAACACTCCTAACTTTTTTAATTTCTTTTACCATACACTTATTGCTATTGTTTAGTAAAAGGCGCGTAAAGTTTAAAATATCTGTCTAAGTATATTTAAATCGGTTTGAATACTTTAAGTTAAATATAATCAAATATAACCAGCTTACTACATGATTGTTTTATTTTCGAATATTTAAGTAAGTAAGTACTAACCTTAAGTTCAGTAGTGTGTTCTTCCAGAATATGCTTTACATCTATGCCAAATTTCGTCTAAATACAAACTTATTACGTACCAACGGTATTAGGTACTTATTCTGGCAGTCCTTGCAATAAATAGTACTGATATATCAAGCTTGGTGGCGCGATTTGCACATGTAACGCCATCTCGCTTACAGGAATTAGCCCATATTCGACAGGATGCAGCTGGCAAAAGTATAAAATTGTCCGGCTGTTTTTCAAGCAAGTAATTTATATTGTCACGATCTCCTGTAGCGTATACTTTACGAACTCGAAACAATCCATTTGATAGAATTAGAGCTACTGCTTTTTTATATAAAAGTGATAAACAACATATAGGGTTGTAAAACGGTACAGGGATACCTTGACACATATAGACCGTGACATAAATTGCGGTCACATCCTAGTGATTCGTTATTTTCATATCCCTCCGTTATCAGCTACTGATTATATGAACAAGGACCATTTTGATTTGTGGTTTTTTAACACATACAAAATTATTAAATGCGTTATGTGAAAAATACTTTTATTAAAAACAACTTTATGCCTTTGCGGTAGCCATAATTGTAAACTAGCTTTCGCCCGCGACTCCGTCCGCGTGGAAATTAAAAAAAAGTAAGTAGCATATGTGTTCTTCCAGACTGTTCTACAACTATGCCAAATTTCATCGAGATCCGTTCAGACGTTGAGGCTACAAACTCTAACAAACAAACATCCATCCTAAACTTACGGATTTATAATATTAGTAAAATTATAATTGAAAATGCATCGCACTATATACACTTTAAATTACTTTTTTAACTTTAATTTTGTGGGATTATATAGTTAGTTTATAACCTAAAAGGAAATTCCAATAGTATGAGGAATATAGTAATTAACCAAAACAGTGGATACAGTTTTAATAGTGAAAAAACAACGTGTGGTTGCAGGTTTTTTTTGTATAAAAAACGATTGCAATTTAATTTAGATACGTTCTTGCATTTTGCATATTGATTTGCAGAGTAAATAATTGCGCCTAGCGACGCCTAGTGGACGTTTTGCTATTCTTTTTATCTATTTCTACCAGGATACCATAAAGATGTTTATTGGTAATGATGGCATAGTCGCTTGTGACTTAATGTTTATAAATTGATTCGTAGGCATTGGACTAGGATTGTATAAACCCAAATGGCATTAAAATTTCTCGATAATTTTGTAAGGCAATTTGTTACAATATGTAGCAAATAAGACCTACGTTACAAACAAATAAAGTAATGTTTTGAACAATGTTAAGTTTATTTTGTAATATTAAATTTAATAAAATTAAGTGCGACTATTAAAGAAAACATGACAATAGATACGAAAACGTCGCCGTTGAGACAAAAAGGAGAACCTCATTCAAAATGAAATCTATACAGTAACACTTGTGTACACAACTTTGATCCAATATGCATGACAATAGCACTGAAATGTGGATGACACAGTCCTTACCAGCCATAGGTAGTGTAGACACGAAACAGGACATAAATATTGTGAATAATAAAAATATATCCAGAAGTGATTTAGTTTAGTTTAAAAAGTGAAAATGTACAGTCAATCATACGAAGAAACACCAATACCTTTAGTAGCAAATTATACAATAGTTAAAGGCGACGATGAAGAGAAGAGAGAAGAGGATCGCGTTATTCTAGAAATAGGACGTCCAGATGACAGGCCACGTGAAGAATTCACATTTTCACATAAGAAATACGACAAGACGATATCACATCACCGATCTTACGTTTTAGATGAATATTTGGAGCCGAGGAGAGTCACTTATTTCAGACCTCATGAGTTGGAGTCGTTACCACAAGAAGGTATTTTTTTTATTAACTTTAAAACGTGTTTTTTTTTTAATAAATAATGAAGTATGTATTTTATTTTTTTATGTTTTATTTAAAAGTATTTTTTTGATTTTTCCAGGTTTCCGTTATAATGAGTACGAGGGCTACAGAGACGCGATGGTAGCACAGGACGCGGCCAACTCCGAGTCATCGCTGGACTTCTCGCACGAGTCCCAGGAGAACAGCAAATATGATGACCACCAGTCTGACGTCACCAATTGGAAAGAGAGAGCATTACAAATGGAGAAAGGTCAATGTCAAATATTTTAAATACCATAATGTTTTTTGTATTGATTCAATAATGAATCCGTAGTGTAATTTCAGACTATCCATGTCCGTTTTATCCGTTTAATTATTTATTTACCGGATAATTATTTTTCAGAATATAAGAAAACAGCATGCGATAGGGAACGGACCCGCATGCGTGACATGAACCGCGCTTTCGACTTGCTGCGCTCCAAGCTGCCAGTCACAAAGCCTTCCAAAAAGAAATATTCAAAAATCGAATGTCTCAGGTAAGATTTACTAAAAATCGTTAATTATTTACACCAAATTGTATATTGTCTGATAACAATTTAACGTGTAAAATGTGATGGAAATATCGGATTTTGTTACCTTATCTGACAGTAACGTTATTTTTAAGCTATCTGAGACGTAGCCAGTGGTAGGACAGCCCCTTAATAATGCGAATTCAAACAATAATAATAGTTGAGTTGTCGGTTTCAATGAAAAATTCTTATTGGTAATTAGTAATTTGTTGTTTTTTTTTACAGGATAGCGATATGTTACATCAGACATTTAGAGCACATGTTATCTGGAGGAGCTCCGGAAGAGAATCCAGCATTTTTCGAGATACAAACCACGGAGAGGCAAAGGCAGCAAAGGTATTGAAATAATTCAAGGATAGATATTAAAGAAAGGTAAAAACAGAAGTCATAGAGTGTGGAGAAAATTTTTAGAGATTATATTTGGGTATTTAAAAAAAATGTTTTCTGGACTGGACTGGACAATTTAAATGCCGCTATGTTATACCTAATTTATATTTATAATCGTTTCCCCGGCGTTGCATTCCTACAAGTTGTTTTTCTTCCATTACGTTAGGTAGACAATTACCAGGCGCCCATAGGCTATTATTACCAATCATTGTATAGATTTCAAATACAAAACTTTATTATCAAAACAGTGTTGCAATGTAAAAAAAACGTTATTAAAAACTCTAAACAATGTTGCAATAAAAAACAAATAAAATATCACATCAGATTTATCCTCTTTCTTTCCGTAACTTTCTTTCCTTTGCCAGTTCAGCTTCCTTCCTCTCCAGCGCCTTCAGGTAGTCCAAATACGCACATTTTATATGTACTGGTATTTTAACGATGCCTTAAACAAAAGAAAAAATTAAAATGTTTACATTTACTATGAAGATGAAGAAATTTAGATTTAATTATGAATACATACACAAGTTCATATAATTTCATCTTTAAATATTTTTTACACTTGGGTTTGTATGTATTTAAAAGAAACAATACTAGAAGGTCAAACATCGCTAAAGTCTAATTTTTAACGTCAAATAAATATTTAAAACAAAAAAAGGTTATTTATATTTATGTAAGTAGTACTTATGTTGTAGATTGAAAAAAGATATTCCATAATAAATACCTGAAAAACACGTGGTTACAAAACCCTTGTAAAGAGAATATAAAGGTGCCAGCAAGCTTTCATTATTTTCTTTTTTCTGTAAAAAAGTATATCGATCTATTATTGATAATTTACTTAGAAAGGTTCAGAATTTATTGCTTTTCCATATAAAAACGTTAATTTACAACAAGTAGCGGATAAACAAAATTTAATTAATGCGAAATTCGTACGGGTCGCACTTCTCCGTAGCGTGTACTAGGAGTTCATAGGAGATCTATGAATCTAATTGGCACAGAAAGTCGGTTTAATGCTCTGCAGAATTCAGTGGCGTGTTGCCTATCGTTGGAAGCGGACAGATTTTGCGAACCGAGAGCTATCGGGTTTGCGATGTCGCATACCTCAGTGAGAGACCGCTTTAACTAGGATAACATAAATTTCTAGATGTTACTTCACTATATTTCCTAAACGTTGTTATAAATTTAGTTGTAACCAAGTTATGATTTAATTCATAATTTATTTGAAATAATAATAAGGCACAATACAAGAGAAAGTACACACACAATACAAGTCATGTAACGCGAAAATAAATTATAATTTCATCTGATTCTAATTCCGAATTCTTATTAAAAAATGTTTGTATCACCAAAGACAATACAATTATATATTTCTATAGCTTAGATGATTAAGGCCTAGTCACCCTTCACTTGGGCTTTAAGCCCTCGATGACCACTCATAGTGAGCTGATGTTATAATCATAATTTAAATAACAATATGGTCTAAAGATTTTTCACAATCAACTTATAATCGTTTACTTCTCTCGGAAAGTCAATTTGAATTAAATTTGTATGAATTTATTTGTTCGTAGAGCAGTGAATAAATTCGCTGATGACGTAAACATTGGTACCAGGGTTGCATAAAATGGAGGTATTATATTGGACGTTCATTGGATATACGAGCACACTTACAATAACACGACCACACTTGTCAAATAAGGGCGGCTTTCTCGTATTTATGCTGCGCATGTATTCTTGCCAGCGACGTAGACATTCCGTGGAGTCATTCTGGTCACCCCACACTCCCTGAGAGTAAGTGAAATAAGCAGTCCCTACCAGGATACCAGCCTGAGGACAGAGAGTAAAATATCATTATTTTATCGTATACGGCCCCTCCCAATTCCCCAGACAGGATACCAGAACATTATAAGTTAAGAGAAGGTTAATCGCTATTAAGATATTGAATAAAATATTAAAAAAAACAAAAACGAGTAGCCTATCTGTTCTTCCAGATTATCTTCCACATCTATACCAAATTTCAATGAAATCTGTTCGGCCGTTTAGGCTACAAACTCTTATAAACATCCATCTAAACTTTGGCATTTATAATATTAATATTATGTCTACTTACTTTGACTAAGTACATAAACTTGCCGTGAGCATAGGGTGCAGTCACTTTAGGTGGAGTCTTGGCACTTTTTAACTGCAATTCCTTGGTGCATATTTTTATACAAGTTGGATGAATAGGAAGTTCTGAAATATTATAATTTTAAAATTAATTAATATTATGAATACGTATGTATAAAAAGTACTAGTCTACTTTTTTAAAGTACTAGACTATTTCAAATCAACGTCTTATAATGTGAACAAGCTTCTTTTTAAATTGATTTCGTTGCGGTATTTATATGTAATGTTAAAACTACTATAATTAGTTATAAATTATTTATTAATATAACGATTTAAACCTTTGCCTACTAGATATTTTAACTTCCTTCCAACAAGCCCTATAGATTATAAATAAAAGACAAATTGGGCAAGCAGCATTACATTATTTGTAATAAGCACCAGGATAACATGCCTTCAAGAGACTGTTGTAACATTCTGTAAGGCGCTTTATGTGATAAGGACGGGCATATTGCTGTAGCATAAGTAAAAGTATAGTAAAGTATTTGTTTCTAGAGTAGAGCAGACGGTGGGCGGTATAAAAACGTATGACTTACGTATTTTCTAACAGTTTCGATGTAACGGTATTGATCTAAACCAAGTATGAAAAATAATTTCTAAATGAACCGGTATGAAGATGGGTAAAGCCGATTCTTTGTCCGATCAAAATAGACACCTTTTGTACCAGGATATCAGATATCGACTGTGATGTACTTGATACTATTACATACAAATCCCAGCAGAGAGACAGTAAAAATAAGGAAAAAATTGTAGATTCTACCGTGAATTTTATCCTAATGGTGGATAATGGTTTTTTGTACGGACGATGGGGAAAATCAGGTTTGATGTGCTTACTTAACTTCCAAGTTCTAAGGTTTTTACTTACATTATATCACAAGTACTTTGTCTAGACCAAAGATTTAAGTTAGATATTTAAAACCATAGGTTACATAAACATGAAATATGTTTTAATTATATCAGGCAAGTACAGTTATCCTTGAATTTATAAGTTACCTAAGTTAGGTAACCTAGATTTTTTTGTTTAGCAATGTATGACGGGTGTGTTATGTTTATACCAGGACATCATAGTAGACAAGGTGATACCTGTAACGCGACCACATTCTATCTTCCTCTGGGGAGTGCATTTGTCGTATATTTGCATATCTGGTTTTGGTTGGTTTATGTGCTTTGCCAAATTGATCGTGCGACATGGCTCGCATCTTTCTTTGTTGTCGCACATTTTAATGATTTTACATTTGTAACTTTCAACAACATAAATTTAGATAATGACACGAGACGAGTAAAATAATTCTGTCAGTAATTGACAGGTTAATGGCAGAGAAATACAAATGACAGTCTCTAGCCAGAATTTTTGCTGCGAATGAATCTTCTTATAAACGAAACATGAACCTTAACCTTCATGACCCGGTAAATAGTAATTGTGCCCGCTTTAACATCTTAGCACGAATGGGCCGGCACGCCGGTTTTATACCACGACTACACAGAAGACAGGCGTGAAATGGAAGCAATTCCATGTTTCGTCTGATGAGTGTGGTGCCGGAGGCCTAATTTTAGTCCCTTTGTCTTTACAACCCTTTTCTTATAAGTAGAGGATGGGAAGAGGAAGTGGATTTGTCGGTGGAGGAGATGCATAGGAAGGGGAAATATCATCTTTATGTGCGTCTCCACGTCCGTCGGATAAGGGTAGGCAAGGCATCTGAAATTGCGGATGTCTATGGGCAGCAGTCGCTTCCCCATTTTGGCTGATTCAGGTGGCCGCGTGCTCGTTTGCCACCTTATGTTATAAAAAAAATATCGTAGCTAAAACTTTGAGGTGCAAAAAATAACTTAGGGTGGTGTTGCTTTTACATACATTTTATGATTATTTTTGAATTAAGTTAATTGCTAGTGGAAGTGGAAGGTTAAAGAAGTTTCTAGAACCATTCGAGTATTATTATCTTTACTATACGAGTATAAAGGGGTGATTAAAAGGCGTAGGGAATTTAAATTCGTCTGCACCTTCGTGTCAATTAATGCTATAATAATATAGTTAATTGACATATTAATGGGGTAATTATTTAAGAACTAACATTAAGAGAAATAATATAAAGAAATCAAGGATATAATATTGTAAGGTATAAGGTTAAATGAAGATATTTAGCTTTAGTACTAATTATTAAACACTAAATTATTTTACCGTTTCTGAATTAGACAAATTAATAGTGTTTCTTACATACTATTATAATAAAGCGTAAATACACACTTCTTTGTTGCCTAAGATGTCGGCAATAACAGGATATTTTTGAATAACATAAGTTGCTGCCAACATCAAGGAAACAAAGTTGTCATCATGTCATGTCATTTTGACATTTGTAATTTGACAAATGTAATTTCATGCGGATGAAGTCGCACAGGAACAGATAGTTTGTAATACAACTAATACATATGTAGGTCCATTCTCTTTATTGGTTTATTGATTTTCTTGTTCGCATATTGATCTTTTACATACATCGATTACATTTCTAATATTCACGAAAGTAGAAACTCTATATTTGTCTATGAAATTAGACAAATAAATTATAATTTACTTTTAAATATCCTTCATACTAAAACCATGGTAGGGTACTTTTAAAAAACATATACTATTACAAAAATTGTGGTCTGTTTTTGAAGTTATGTTGAACACAGTATTAAAATGTTATTGTCCTCAACTCAGACATAAGCCACATTAATTGTCCTTAAGATATAATTGTTAATCATAAAAACGTGTAATAATCTAACAATTTATTGGAGTAAGTGCGGGGCCAGCGGATGTGGCGATATGCTGTTTCCTGCGAGTTGCGCAAAGCATAGAATGCTTCCGTGACCATCATCGCTGATAAGGTGCGTATTGTTGCGAAATATTGCCAAAATTGGCTCCTCTACTAATGTAATTAAATATAATTTCTATTATCTAGCCCCACGCGGTAATAATTAGATGATTGGACCAGTTAGCGAGTACCAGGACTGCATAACAGATAGAAGACTTATCAGATATTTGATAATATTTCATTCGTAAAGTTGGCAACGCACTAATTAATGAAATATTAAAATATGGTAAATCCTGAATTCCCGGTGGTTTTTCCTAATGGTGATTACCTTAGATCTATACTTCTATACTGATATCATAAAGAGGAAAGATTCGTATTTTTGTATGTATTGAAATAACTCATAAAACTACTGGGCCGATTTTAAAAATTCTTTCACCGTTATAATGGTAACTTATCTGTGAGTAACATAGGGTGTATTTTTTATTATTTATTAATTTCACGCGGATGGAGTAACAGCTAGTATTATATATAAAAAGAAGGCGATTCTTTCGTTGTGACAATTTTTTGATGTTAATGACAGTTACATTATCACTATTATTTCTTCCAAAAACTCAAAAACAAGCGCAAAAATGGCGAAATCAAATACGCACAATTTCACTGTTTATAGTCTGTACATTTCTATAAATGTATAAATATAGTTCAACCGTTATAACTTATTTAGCTTTTTCCTTTTTTAAAAAAAAATATCTATATTGCATGTTAGGCGACGACGCAGGCGAACTCTCGTGTCGGAGGCCAAGACCCACTTTGGGTCGCTGCACCAACGCAGTAATTGTATGTTGTCCTTTTACTTGTTCTGTCACTATTTTTATAAATACGTCATGTTTTATTAAAATTGAATAATTTTATATTTATTTGCATTTATTCGTAATTTACTGACAGCTGCTGCGTTCTTGTTAAATGTCAGAGCAAGTTGAAAAAGCGAACAATGCGTAGGCATACAAAAAGACCGCATTTTATGTTTATATTAATAAGAAACAGGTACAAATACATATTAAAATGTTATACCATGCAGTATTATTCTTACCAATCTATGGTAATATTATAAAGAGACAATATATTTAATTTTGTATGTATCCGATTCACGTAAAAACTACTAGGCTGATTTTAAAAATTCCTTCACTATTTGAAAGGTAATTTACCTGTGAGTGACATAGGCTGTATTTGATGATTATTTATGTTTAGGATACATTAAAAAAGAGGGTATTTCTGCACGCGGTCGGAGTCGTAGTCAACAGCTTGTTTACTATATATTTTAACCTTTCATGGATATTGACGTAAGGCACGAATCTCGTGTCTCAAGGAGGCTAATGACCTTGTTAAGGTTATATAAATAGTTAGTACCTGTTAGAAATTGAACTTATTTAAGCAGCCCCTTAGTGCAAGGGCGGATCCACCTTTGGCGCCAGGGGGGGGGGGTCACATAGTCGTGATCAAGTCAGGAGCTTCACAAAATATGTAAACACATTTTGTCAAGCTCTTAAACAACCAGTTTAGAGAGGGAGTCGTGACCCACATGACCCCCCCCCTGGATCCGCCGTTGCCTTAGTGTAGGTTTCTCTTATTAAATCTACAAGTACTTAGTGATCTGCAGCAATAAAAACGAAATTTTATACAGTACTAAATTTCGCTCGCGACTCCGTCCGCGTGAAACTAAAAAAATGAAACAAAAGTAGCCTATGTGTTCTTCCAGACTATCCTCTATGTCTATACCAAATTGGACCAAGATCCGTTAAGCCGTTTAGGCTACAAACTCTAACAAACATCCATCCATCTATCTATCTATCTATCTAAACTCTCGTATTTATAATATTACTATGATTACTATGATTGTATGATTAGTATCCTCATATATCTTTAATTTCTTATTTTTACATGTAATGTATTTTACTTGATTTTATATAAAAAAATTAATAAAATAAAACATATTATGATTAGAATTTTTACTTACTTAATTATGCTTTTATTAGAATTAGGGATAGGGCAGTAAGTAGTAGACTAGATTAGATCTGAATCTTAGCTTAAATAATATTATCTTCATCTAACTAATATTATAAATGCGAAAGTTTAGATCAATGGATGTTTTGTTTGTTAGAGTTTGTAGCCTAAACTGCTGAACGAAACTCAATGAAATTTGGGAAAGACGTAGAGCATAGTCTTGAAGAACACATAGGCTACTTACTTTTATTTTTTTTAAATTCAGCAGAAAGCTAGTATTTCATAATTAAAACAATTTCCTTTCTTGAATAGAAACAAATATAAAAAGCATTGATTAGTATTGACCTTTACGAACAATTCTGATTTGATTTCGAATATTTTATTTATATAAAACGTTTTTATTACTGTACTTTACTGTAAGGTGTTTGATGTTATAATAATTTAAAATATTGTATCCTCAGAGAATTTACGATTATAAATGAAACTTGGGTTAAAATCCAGAATCTATTTTTAGTTGTTAAGTAACTATTCGTTAAATTAATAACGTGTTAACGATTTACTTTTAAATAAGTTAAGAAATAATTCGACAATATACTGATTATTAATAATTTCTGTAAATATATTTTAAGGTTATTTAATATTATAAAGAGGAAAGATTTGTATATTTGTATCTATTGAAATAAATAAAAAACTACTAGGCCGAATGCAAAAATTCTTTCACTATTCAATAACGACGTTATCAGTGATTAATCTATACTTATTTTGAAAAAAACTTCATTGGGACTCTATCTACTATGTTCCAAAATCTAAGAGCTTAATTTCAATATTAGGTTATAAGCAAGCCTATTAATATTTAATCACAATATGTCTGTATTAAAATATTTTTTCTTTTCCTGCCTATTCAAGTTTCATTTGATATTTTAAGCTCGTTTCGTGAAAAAGCTCAAAGCTACAAAAGTTATGTCCATTGATAGTTTTCATGAATGAATTGGTGGGGATGAGTGTCCGCGCGCCACACGCCGGCACAAACGAAGCAAACGCTTCGTGCGCGGCCAGCCGACATCGCGCTCCTTGCGCACGCGCCCATCTCCTACGGGAACCGAACTTGTGAATCCTCTCTAGTGTTCTGTGCTACGGACTTTTCTGGTATGCAGCTCTAGTGATGGCGTTTAGCTTAAGGTTTGTTTTTTATTGTTTTTTTTGGTAATAGTTGACAGTTGTAAAAAAATATTCTTATTTAACTATATGAGTACTAATGTACCTTTTTTCGGTGTTAATTGTTGTTAGATTTAATTTAAGTGATTTTTTAAATTTTATTTTAAACAAATATAAATATATACTGTCATTACATTTTAATACCTATCAAAAATATTTTACGTATAATATTTGCGGTTTAATACAAGCCGAAAATTTTGTATATAATTAACCTATTTGGTTATATTTTCTTAAGCGATTTTAGTCACTCTTAAATGTGCGAAACCTCCATATACTATATCGCAAGTTACGTTTACGCAAATATTTTATCTGTGACTTAATTGTAGTTTAGTTTTACTTACGGCCTCAGTAAAATATTTACAAATTAATAGCATAAATAATGCTAACTTAATACTTTCGATTTCAACGAGTTTAAAAGCTCGGAGTGTGATATTCACTGACATCATTGATAAAAAACAAAGATATCCATAGATACTTTACAATAGCATGATTAATAATTGAAAAATCAAAATAAATTATTTTATAAATAAAAGTTTTTCGTTAAATCCCTTTTACGTATATCCTCCTGTGTTGATTGCGCATAATACATTACAAATAAGGTTTTATATATCGCAATCGGAAGAAGAAATCAATTTGAATTTAATTCATAATTAGAAAACAAACGACTTGCTAGAAAACTTGAATCATTCTGAAAATTAGAGCCGTTGCGAGGACATTGTTTGAACGATATGATATTGTAATTCTGATATCTAGCTAACTCAAGCCCTTATATATTTTAGATTCAGGTTACAAACTAACGACCACCGGGATTCGCCAACGAAGCGAAACGATCAGTGTTATCTGTCCTTAATCAACAAATGAGGGGACGCACAGAAAGAGGATGTGTCCAATGCCTAAGCGTTTCTTTAACTGACAAATTCAGATCTCCTTTCCATTCCCTCCTTGGATCTTCTTGTACCTGGTGATTATCAGATGAATCGCGGAAATTATTCCACTTCATGCCTGTCTTCTGTGTGGTTGAGAGAGGCGGCTTCAATTCTGCAAGATGTAGCAGACTCTATCCCATAATTATACGCATCTGCAAATCTAAAGGCAACGCTGACTTCGCTTTTATGGTGAATTCCGGTAACCGCTTGCTCGTTTGTCATATACTACTAAAAAATTAATTAATCTATTTAGTTTAGTTTATTTTCTAGTGAATTACTACGAAATTGCATTATTGCGTCTTAAAATATGGTGACAAAGTGAGGAATGGAAAGAGTTATTGTTAGTTGTCTAGTTGGAATTTTTACTTTATTTTAGTGTCGAATTTTATTCTTTACAATATCCATCCATACACCTCTAATGAAATCTAAAGCATAGTCACGTATATTGCTGTTTCTACATCTTTTTTAAACAGTAGAAATTTACGTAAAGATTTAAATTATTTACTTCACAGAATGTTTTCCACAGTACATATAAGCATAGACACTGGCTTTTCTTCTGCCATTCAAGTGTAATTTTTATACCTAAACTTTTATATGTACTGGTTTTATTTAATAGTAATAAGATGTACATTTGACGTATGTTCCATAAATAAAACGGTAGTAGCAAATGTCCGGTGGACAATTTATCTCCCCGCCCTTATCTCTTTGTAACACAACGCGAGTTACAATATTTAATTAAATATAATAAAAAAACTATAATAGAATATCATACCATGCTTATAATTATGTGATCGTTATATGTAGAATTATAATAAGGGTTTGGTTTTCCGTTAAATTCTTTCAATTATCTTAAGACATTGTGTTAAAAAGACGGCTCAACTTATATGGTAGTGCTTAGTGTTTAATTCGCTTTCTTCGCGGTCCCGTATCACCTCTAAAGATGGACCCCCAACGGGTCCGAAACTAGTCAGTGCTGTCACCGGAATACGTGAGTTGGGTCGTCTTTAATTCTTTTAATTATCCGTAACTAAAATTATAGTAAACCAAAGAGTAGTTAAAGACATATAAAACACGTTCATCAGATTTTAACTACTTATAGAAAGGTCTTCTTCTTAGATTTAAAAACAAAAAATGTCAAAGAGCAAACAATTAACTAAATGTTCATAATAAAAAATAAAAACATTGATAATCGAGATATCTTAATTGAAATTAATTCTTTGTGATAAAAAGTTCGATCCCAATAAAGTTATGGTTTTATTTAAGACGTTTTTTGTATAATTAATGTGAATATTATTCACATGGTATAAAAGTACAATATTTTGTCTCATTTTAATGATATTTGAAGGTTTGTCTTCTAAATAGTACGTAGAATTAATATTTTTTATTTATGTCAACACCAAATCTAGATTTTAAAATATGTAAGTTTTATAACAGTGGTTTATTTCAAGGCAATTCTATTTATTTTATTTCAAGGTCACCAACTTGTCTTTATCAACACAAATGTCAAATTCCGCGCTATTCCGTTATTTGCATCATTTCATCATTGGTGCCAAATGCAACTTGCATTAATCAAATTAAAGCAAGAAATCAAAATGTTCAATAACAGGTTTTTAGTTCTCACGATTTTATAAACCAAAAAGAAGCGGTAAACGGTAATTAATCTTTGTTTTTTTTTTTATAAAACGAGTAATATTTAATAAAAAAGGATTTGTAATGACTAATGAAACTTATCGAAAAGGTAAATAGTAATTGGTTCACTTTATTTACAATCGAACATTCGAGAATCGAATCGAAATTTAATCATTCTAACAAACTGGTATAGAAATAAAACCACAGCAAATTGACTGTCGTATAATTTTCACACATCGCAAAAATACACTTTTGTTTTGTCAAAGCAAATATTTTTTTAGACATTTTTTGCGGATAGTTTGTGCCAGGCGCTATTTATTGAGTGTTTCAAGGCTCAAGAATGTTATTAGAATTTTGGTCAGGGAAGGCTCACAGCGATTTTTGTATAAAGCCGAATGGTATCTCGTACAAATTTACCAGTGTAGCACCTCGTTACTTATACAAGTAAATAATAATGGACGCCGACTCCGGCTCCTAGTAATTTAACCATCGCACAGGCGCAAGCGAATGCGCGGCTCGATGCAATTAAATAATTAGCGGACCACTATTTTCTGAAATTACCTGTCGACGTACGATTTGCCACGCCTTAAACGTACTTGAAAACTTAACTATGCTAGGTATAACCGTTTTTATAATTCAAACTAAATTAGTGATAATCATATAACCTATAATTTTAAATTTGGTAGTAAAACTTTTCTATAAATTTATGTAAGTAATTAATACATATAATATTTCTTCAAGAATACAGTATGTTAAATAAATCATGAATTTTCAAGAATCTCCACGTAGGATACCCCTGGGATATAAGGCCATATATTTTCCATTTTGGGTGGTCTTAGCTGGAGGCATTTTAAGCTCTACAAAGCCACATATCAAAACTTATTAAGGGATCAACGCAATCGTCGGTGAATTTATCACCGATTCAGTGATTTAACGATAATATATCGTTTATTTAAAGAAAAAGGTACGGAGTAAAGTTCAGCGAGAAAGTACACAGAAGTAAAAAGACATAGAGAAGTTTAAGACTATGTTTAAATCCTTTTGTTAGAAGAACATTAAATAAGTAACGAAAATAATTATTTTAACCTTTACAAAACTATATGTAGTGGGGATTAAATTATAACCTAATATAGAAACAAATGCAATCGAAAACTCGCAAATCGTTCATGTGTTAACGTCTGCAGGGGTTGCGCGGGGTGTGGGACGGAGGGGTGCACTCCCGCACACGAACTGGATCCCGAGAGGACAGGAAAAAAATAAGAAAACAGGCGAGATTAAAACTAAAACTATTGTTCCTTTAACCCGAGCCTCGCCGCTACCGAGCCGGGAATTTCTCTCATGCATAAATTCATCTCCGGTTTTGTCAAAAGAGATTCGTATAATTAAACGTTTAGGAGATTTAGATACGAGCTTATTTACTATTATAGCAAAATAGCATTTACCACAATAGGAATAGAGTATTATTTTCTGTATATTGTTATTTTTTAGTCTTTTTACAAACAGTAGCGTCAAATGGACAGTTTTCTTCGAATATAGTCTTACTTTTAAGTCTTATTGTTATGTCCCGTTTGATTGTTTTGGTGCTTTTTTGTCGGATGAAGATGTGATGAAAAACTTTTACAACTGAAATGTATTGATTGAAAGAATATAACTGTTTTAGAAATAAAAAATATTTAGGCCGTTTATTTAACTCACGTTGCGTCCGGGTTCATTGAAAAACAGGATTAGTAGGTTGACTGAAATTTTTCTAGAACATTTAAGACTTAATCTATACTATTATAATAAAGCGTAAACACACACTTCTTTGTTGCCTAAGATGTCAGCAATTACAGCATGTTTTTGAATAATTCTTTTTTAATAAAAAGCCCTACACTTACGTCACGCTTTAAGCCATATATTTTCACGCCATTAAACTTAGGGGGTAATTTTTTTGGATAAAAACCCTAATGTGGGGAGGAGACCATAAGTTGCTACCAACATCAAGGAAGCAAGGTTGCCATGGTTTGTCATCGTCATGTCATTTTGACATTTGCAATTGATCATTTGACACATGTAAACAATATAATAAAATTTTCCTAATTTTACGCGGATGAAGTCGCACGGGAACAGCTAGTTTACTAATACTAAATACTGACAATTTCGAGTACATTTACTTACTTAACATACATTCAAAAAGCTACATCATGGATTTTATATATTAAAGAATGTAAAAATTCTTATTTTTTACCCTTTTTGCCAGTAACATGATCCATGAGAAAGGGTTGCTTGAGTTTTTATGGTAGCCTCCATTAATCGTGCGACCTCAACTTGACAGATATATTTTTTCTGACGTGCCAGTTACGCATCTCATTTGGGTCAACATAGGTGGATACTTTTCTGTTAATTTTATGTATAACTAGTTTTATAGCG